GCCTCTGGACAGATGGAGGCCACCTGCTGCAATGGGAAAGATGGATGTCAAGTGGATTGTGGGGTTGGCAGCAGGCAGTGGGCGGTGCAGAGATCAAAGGTTTGTGTGGAAAAATGTTCAGTTTTAGGTGCTTCCGAGGTATCCAGGTAGAGAAGTGAGAAGGAAAGTCATATTTATGGATCTGAAGCTCAGAGAGAGGTCACAAAATTTGGAATTGTCATCGTACTTGAAATGAAGTGGATGAGCTCTCCAAGAAAGAGGATTTAAAGAGTGAGATACATTCGTAAAGAATTGCAAAGTTTAGAAATAGAATATGAGAAATTGAATATGCAGAGTCAAGTGGAAATGAGGAAGAGTAGCCAGAAAAGATAGATCAAAGGAAAAGGAAACAAGGAGCGTGTCAAACCTGGAGCACTGAAAGAGAAGGGACGTCCCCTAGTATTGATTGGCTAGTGGGGAGGTCGTTGGTAACCTCAGCAAGGTTACTAGAATTATGAGGCATATACTGAAGGGTGAATGAGTGGGAGGATGTGGTGACAGCATGAGAAGCTTGGCTTCCTTCCAGAAGCTTGGCTCTACAGAAAAGTAGAGAGGTAGGGTCCTATTAGAGGGAGCGGGAGAGTTGAATGTGAGACCAACAGCAGGTTGTTTTGGTTTCTTTTTGGGATTTTTCTTTTTAGATGGATGATACCAGGGCATTTTTTCATGCAAATAGAAAAAATCCAGTAGAAGGGCCAAAGAATGTTATTGTCTTCTAACTTGCTAGCAACTGATGGTTTTTAGCAAACTGGTGGATAGTACTCAGTAGTCACAAATACTTATGCTAAGTAAGACCCACTTCTCCTGTAAACTTACACTTGAAATAGAAAAAAAGTTGATGTTAAAAAGTTTGTCCATTTTAGTCTTACATCCTCGTTAGATGGGTAAATGGCATGAAGAGGTTTCTTTTATGAAACATTTTGTTGTTCTGTAGGAATCTTGTTTTACACATAAATGACAGAAATTTATATTAAGCATTTTCCTTCACTAAATCTTTAGTTTGTGTCTTTTAATAAAATGCCACTGAATTTTCATGTCAGCAAGAGAGGTAGGTAAATTTGAATACAGAAACTAATTTAGCAGTCATTTAGTTAGGAGCTGGAGATTTTAGAGCTGCCACTTCTAAAAGTGGAGAAGACGAGGATTAACTGACTTTTCTTACTTCTGTGGAATTAGAAATTAGAGCCGAAAAGGAACAAAGCCAGAAATGCGTGACAATGACCGTCTTTTTGTACGTGAATTAGATTGTGAAGATGATTTCATTCACACCTGCACATGCATCCTTTGAAGCTCATTTCCATTTCTTTTGGTATTCATTTAATAAATATATTCCTGAGAGAGACATATTGAAATACAATTTACGTTTCTTTAAAAAAAATTAAGGACTTCTTTTGCCATCTGCCTAGCATACTTATGAATGTCCTTACCCCAACTTTTAGGATTTGGAGTTTTTAGGAATCCAAACCTTTAAAGCCCAAGCAAAACACAATTGTAAGGTGAATTTAGTATAAAGAAAGGACAGTTTCAGTCAAAACTAAGCATAGATAGATTTTGTATCACTTTCTGTTTGGGATTTCAAGTGATGATGTTTACTTCCAGTAGCCCAAATAATTGGTAGATAGTTTGGTCCAAAGTGAGCCTATCAGAAGAGAAAGGAACCTTGGAAAACAATAGTCTTTAGTTAGTTGGAAAGGGGAAGCTGTGATTTTAAATGGCAAGAACCATCTCAGAAAGCAAGGAATGAGTATAAGAAAAAGAAGAACCAAAGCAATGTAAATATCATGAAAATCTAATTAAAAAAAAAATGGTTTGGCATTTGGGTTTAAGAATGAAGGAGCGCACTATAAACGTATTGAAATAACAAGTTAAAGTTAGACTTATTTATTTATTTGAGACAGAGTCTCTCTGTGTCACCTAGGTTGGAGTGCAGTGGTTTGATCTTAGCTCACTGCAACTTCTGCCTCCTAGGTTTAAGCAACTCTCGTGCCTCAGCCCCCCAAGTAGCTGGGATCACAGGCACGCAGTACCATGCCTGGTTAAGCTTTAGTAGAGTCAGGGTTTCACCATGTTGTTCAGGTTGCTCCTGAATTCCTGGCCTCAAGTGATCCACCCGCATCGGCCTTCCAAAGTGCTGGGATTACAGGCGTGAGCCACTGAGCTTGGCCAGACATATTGTATTTAGATGTTTATGATAGTTTGCCATTAAAAATCAGGTTATTGCTTGCTTACATTGGCATATGGGTGGAGAAGAGGAAACATATTTTAAAAAAGAATTTGCTGATATAGGGTATTTATACTGGTTTATTTGTAGGAATAATAAGAGCTTATGCCCTTTGAGAAATGTGGAATTAGATATTGATTCTAGTGATGTCCCAGCATTAAAAAGCCATACATTTTAAAGTTTTATTACTTTATCTCTCAGTAGCCTTGACAGTTTTATTAAAATTGGTCCAAAGAGCAATGATTTGCGTTTATTATATTATGCCTATAGTGCTGGAAAAATTAATATACCTAGGAAATACATCACAAGGGCATAGTAGATGATTTTGAGGTACAAGCTGCTGTGATTTGTGTGATACACAACAGGTAAGGTATTATATGGTATAGTCATAGATTAAAAGTAATGGTACATTATTTTATTCTTCAGATAGTTGGTAGATGATTGTTGGGCTCTATCCATTTTACATTTTTTTTTAGCTTGTATACTGCTGGCTCCCTGCTTTGTAGATGGTCCTGGATTTAAGACAAAAGCAGATGCAAAATGATTTCCCGACTAGGATGATAACACTAAAATCTTGGGATACTCATTTGCTCAGATAATAGAATTAGCAACTTCCTGAGCCAGTGAACACAAGCTAAAGTTGTTGATTTCTGCCTCACAGGTGGGTGGTAGTCCATAAGGTCATCTAGAGAATCGTGCTGGAGGGGGCGGCTCTGTCATTCCCCTGAGCGTAACATGTCCAGGACTGGGTTTAAGAACAGCACATCCAGCCAATGGGAAAGGGAAATCTAGGGCAAGTGGCTTTGTCTTTATGAAGATGTCCTAAACATTGAGTACATTTTTTTTTCTGTTTCCTTCTGTTGTCTTAATCACACAGCCACAGCTCATTGTAGTCTCAAGCTGGGTGAAGGGGCCCCTGCTAAAACCGAAAGCTTAGTTACCAAAAGAAGATGGAGAAAATGGATTCGGGGGAGAATGTTTCCTGCACAGACTAGGAACTCCTTGGGATGCGGGGTAGTGGTTACGACAGATGAATCTCGTTTCTAAATCGCAAGCAGTGCTTGGCTTATATATTTGGTACTCAGTAAGTGTTTGGTGGGTTGAACTGACTATTAAAGCTAATCCTTTCTTTTCCAAAAGATGGAATTTGATCAGAGGCTCTACCGCCTTTCCCCCTCTGCTGTTTTTTCTATATATTTATACCACTTTCTAGGATAAGCATACAAAAGAGAATATAATATTTACTTTTAAGATTTGCTTTAAAATCTAAAATGTATTGTGACAGGAAAAAAAAAGTTTGTTTATTTTATTTGCATTACTACCTTTCTCTGTATTTGGATTGATATTTACATATGCTTTGGGCAACTAAGTACATGCCAAATTGGTATGTGTCTTTTATTCAACAGAATATCTGGTGATTGTGAAAAGTAACCCTAAATAGAAAACACAGATATAGCATTTAGTTTATAACATAGATTGGTATTTATGATGTTCCCTTCTTTTTCAAATTATTAAAGATATTTCTATATATAGTGAAGATAGAAACTAAGAGTTACTCGTTTTATTTTTGCATGATTCTGTATTATAACAATTATATAGTTTGCTTAAAGTATAACACTAGTCCTTTGCTCATATTTTTTACTATAAAATTAGAATTAGGAAGGGAAATTATATGACAATAATGACATATTTGTACTTGAGATACTTCATATACCTAAGATAAGAAATTGCTTAAAATGACATTGTATCTACTTGGCATAATAGCAGCTTTCTTGCTGCTTAGAGCAAAAATCTGCTTTAAAAACCTAGTGGTGTGTCTTATTAGTAGGAGAAAAATCTAATAGCAAGAAATAAGTTCTTTAGGTATTATCATGTTCTGTGTCCCCATTTGGCACGTGTGGAAACTGAGGCATGAAATCTTAAAACATCTTAACTTGCAATCTTTGGGAAGATGGTGTTCATATTTTAGAAGGTCTTTTTAAAGGATATATTAGCTGATTATTATATACTAAAATCTGTTGTTTTAGTTCCTTATGAGATATGAGACAAACTTACCTTTTAACACTCAAGGGAAATAGGGGGAAGCCAGGAAGAAGATGAGAATTAACTTGGGAGGGAAGGAGAGGTGATCCTGCCTGTGCCCCTCCAGGCATGGCCAGTGGGACAGACCCTGAGGCCCTGAAGAAGCTGCTGTTGAAGCTCAGTTGCTAACTCAACAGGGGATATCGGGATTAGGAAAAATCATATGGGAAAGGCATTTGTTCCTTGAGGCATCCATATATTCAGGGGTTGAGAGGACCTCTGTGTAGAGATAGGAGAGAGATGAGAAAGAATGTCTGCTTCCATTATTAGATCATCTTTCCCAGGGATTGAAATATATATGCAGGCAATGCAGCAAATTATTTTTTAATTGAATATAAGATATTTAATTATTATGACATTTCTCTAATGTCATTTAACGATCCGTTGTGGCAAAAATCTAATCGGAATAAAGCCTGTGATCATTACAAATCAACTTTCCCTCCCAGGTGTATGTTAGTTTTGAGCCCCTGGTGGGCATCCATCTCAGCGGTGAAGTTGACAGGTCGTCTGTCGGTTGTGTGGAATAGGATGGGGTTTGGTAGCATCTCCCTCTTTCCTTGTGGTTCTCTTGAGCCGTTCACCGTGAGCATCTTAGTTTTCTTGCAGAGGGAAGGTAGCTGTATGGAGTGACCTGATATTCCTTTTTTTCTGCTTGCAGAACAATCAACCATGACGACAGAATCTGGATCAGACTCGGAATCCAAGCCGGACCAGGAGGCCGAGCCCCAGGAAGCGGTGGGAGCACAGGGGCACGCGGGAGCGCCCGGGCCGGAGCCGCCCACGGAGGAGCAGCAGCAGGCCCTAGAGCAGTTCGCGGCTGCAGCGCACAGCACCCCGGTGCGGAGGGAGGTGAGCCCAGGCCAGAAAATCAATGACGCGATGTTTGCTGAGCTGCTCCAGGGTCGGCTTTAACCTCGGTCTGTTAGCATTAGAGGCGGCTATGAGGGGTCATCTGCTGTTCCCCCTCTGGCCCCAGGCAGATGAAAGTGTATGCTTTAAGGCTTTCAGTGAATGACATTCCACAACCTTGCCTGGTAACTCCTTCATTTGATTAAAACACTGACACACTGGAGTCCAGACTGGAGATTATTGGTCCTATCTGGATTTAGAGGAAGGACAGACACCAAACTGACAGCTTTAATTTTGCTTGTGGTTGTTTTGTCTTTCAAGCCTGAGGGCTAGAGAGAGTTTGCATTTCCCCAGGCATCACCCTGACCCTAATATTGCAGATCTGCTTTCAGCGGATCTTCAGGTAGGTCTTTCCCTCCCTATATACACCTATGTTTTCAACTCTTCCCTGGACATGTTTGGGTAGTCGGGAATAATGCATTTCTTTGAAAAGTTTTAAAGTATGGTTTACATGTGGGCCTTGAATAAGTCTATATTTAAATTTCTTTTGTCTTAAAACTTCAAACTTGGAATCAGAATGTTTTAGAGTGCCGATTTGTCTGCAGTAAAGCAGTCTGGAGTCCCCACATGTGATTGGCCTCTTATATGTCAGAAGTGTTTCAAGCTAGAAATTCTAAGATACTGAGAAAAGAGATATAATCAGCATATTAGTGAAAATCTTTGGAAGTCACAACATTAAACTACATATTTACAACCATATTATTTTGTTTCTTTATGTAGGGTATTTACAAGTTTGCCTTTTTTTCCCCAATTTTATACTTATTAAAAATTTGAGGCCAGGTGCAGTGGCTCACGCCTGTAATCCCAGGATTTTGTGAGGAAGGTGGATCACCTGAGGTCATGAGTTCAAGAGAGTCTGGCCAACATGGTGAAACCCCGTCCCTACTAAAAATACAAAAATTAGCTGAGCATGGTGCCACACATCTGTAATACCAGATACTCGGAAGGCTGAGGCACAAGAATCACTTGAACCCGGGAGGCTTGAACCAAGATTGCACCACTGCACTCTAGACTAGGTGCTAGAGCTAGACTCTGTTGCAAAAAAAAAAAAGAAAAAAGAAAAAAATTTGAGGTAAAATATATATATATAAAACTTACAGTCTTTTTAAAGTGTACAGTTCAGTGGTATTAAGTATGTTTATGTTTTTTAAAATTCCCTTCATCACTCCTCCTCCCTACCCTTCTCCCTATTCTTCCCAGCCTCAGGTAATCACCATTCTACTCCCCATCTTCATGAGATCCCATTTTAGCTCCCACATATGAGTAAGAAGATTCCATATTTGTCTTTCGGTGCTTGGCTTATTTCACTTAACCTAACAGCCTCTAGTTCCATCCCTGTTGCTGCAGATGACAAGATTTCATTCCTTTTTATGGCCGAATAATATTCCGCTGTGGATATATACCACTTTTTAAAAAAATTCATTCTGCTGTTGATGAGAACTTAGGTTGATTTCATATTTTGGCCTCTGTGAATAGTGCTGCAGTAAACATTGGAGTGCAGATGACTTTTCTATGTCTTGATTTTCTTTCTTTTGAATGTATATCCAGTAATGGAATTGCTGGATCATATGATAGTTCTATTTTTAGTTTTTGAGGAACCTCCATACTGTTTTCCACAGTGGCTGTGCTAATTTACATTTTCACCAACAGCTTGTGAGGATTCTCCTTTTCCCACATTTTTGCCAGCATCTATTACTGTCTGTCTCTTTGATACATGCCATTTTAACTGGGGTGAGATGATATCTCAGTTGTCTTCTTGATTTGCATTTCTCTGATGATTAGTGATATTGAGCATTTTTCTCATATACCTGTTGGCCATTTCTTCTTGGTTTTCTTTGAGGAATATCTGTTCAGCACTTTTGCTCATTTTTAAATCTCATTTTCTCTTGCTATTGAGCTGTTTTGAGTTCCTTATATATTGTGGTTAATAATCCCTTGTCAGATAGACACTTTGCAAATTTTTTCTCCTATAGTTTGTTAATTTTTTCTTTTGCTATACAGAAGCTTTTTGGCTTGATGTAATCTGTATGTGTATTTTTGTTGTGATTGCCTGTGCTTTTGAGGTCTTACAAACAAGCAAACAAACAAACTCTTCTCAAACCAGTCTCCTGGAACATTTCCCCAGTGTTTTCTTCTAGTGGTTTCACTGTAACAAGTCTGACAGTTTTAAGTTTTTTAATCCATTTTGATTTTATTTCTGTGAAGAGTGAGAAATAGGGATCTAATTTCATTCTTCTCTTATAGTTATCCAGTTTTCCCTACACCATTTACTGAAAAGACTGTCCTTTCCCCATGGAATGTTCTTGGCATCTTTGTGTGCTTATAAAGGATCACCTGAGGTTGGGAGTTCAAGACAGCCTAGCCAACATGGTGAAACCCTGTCTCTATTAAAAACACAAAATTAGCTGAGTGTGGTGGCACATGTCTGTAATCTCAGCTACTTGGGAGGCTGAGGCACAAAAATCATTTGAACCCGGGAGGCTTAAATGTGTGGTTTTATATCTGGGTTCTGTATTCTGTTCCATTGATGTATGTGTCTGTTTTTATGCCAGTACCATGCTGTTTTGGTTATTATAGCTTTGTAGTAAATTTAGAAGTCAGGTAGTATGATACCTCCAGCTTTGTTCTTTTTAGTCAGGATGCCTGGTTATCTATTCAGGGTCTTTTGTAGTTTTGTATAAATTTGAGGACTTTTTTTCTAATTCTGTGATGACTGTATTGGCATTTTGCTAGGGATCCCATTGAATTTGTTAATTGTTTTGGGTAGTATTGCCATTTCAGCAGTATTAAGTCTTCTAATCCATGAGCATGGAATGTCTTTCCACTTTTTGTGTTCTCTTCAATTTCTTTCATCAGAGTTTTATAGTTTTCCTTACATAAATCTTTCACTTCTTTGGTTAGATTGCTTCCTAGTTATTTTACATTTTGTAGCTATTGTAAATGAGATTGCTTCTTGAGTTCTTTTTCAGATAGTCACTATTAGCAAATTTAAACACCACTGATTGTTGTATGTTGATACATTCTGCAATTTCACTGAATTCATCTATCAGTTCTCACAGTTTTTTGGTGGTCTTTAGGTTTTTCCAGGAATAAGATCATGTCATCTGTGAGCAAGGCTAATTTGGCTCCTTCCTTTTCAATTCAGTTGCCCTTTATTTCTTTCTTTTGCCCAATTGCCCTGGCCAGGACTTCCAGTATTAAGTTGTATCATGCTGAAAGTCGACATCCTTTGCTTGTTCTCCTTAAAGGAAAGGCCTCCAGTTTTTCGCAATTCAGTGCAATGCTAGCTGTGGATTTTTCATATGTGGCATGTATTATTTTGAGGTATGTTCCTTCTATACGGATTTTGATAAGGATTTTTAATCATAAAGGTATGTTGAATTTTATCAAATGCTTTTTTGGCATCTATTGAAATAATCATACAGTTTTTGTTCTTGATTCTGTTAATATGTTGTATTGTGTTTATTGATTTACGTATGTTGAACCATCTGCATCCCTGGGATGAATAGCATTTGATCATTGTGAATGATCTTTTCAGTCCCCATTTTAATGTGTTATTGAATTTGGTTTGCCTGTATTTTACTGAGGATTTTTGCATCAGTGTTCATCAGTGATATTGGCCTGTACTTTTTGTTTTATCATTGTCTGGTTTTGGTATCACGGTAATACTGGCCTTGTGGCATGAGTTTGGAAGTATTCCCTCCTCTTCAGTATTTTTTTTTTTTAATGAAGAGTTTGAGTAGGATTAGTATAGTTTTCTTTACATGTTTGATGATATTCAAGTGAGACCTTCAGGTCCTGGGCATTTTCTGATAGAAGGCGTTTGTTTGTTGTTGTTGTTGTTGTTGTTGTTGTTGTTTTTTGAGACAGTGTCTGGTTCTGTCGCCCAGGCTGGAGTGCAGTGGTGCGATCTCAGCTGTCTGCAACCTCTGCCTCCCTGGTTCCAATTTTTGTGCTTCAGCCTCCCAAGCAGCTGGGACTACAGATACACGCTGCCACGCCCAGCTAATTTTTTGTATTTTAGTAGAGACGGGGTTTCACCATGTTGCCCAGGCTGGTCTCAAACTCCTGAGCTCAGACAATCTGCCCGCCTCGGACTCCCAAGGTGCTGGGATTACAGGTGTGAGCCACTGTGCCTGGCCGATAGACTTTTTATTATAGCTTTGATCTCGTTACTCATGGCTATTTTGTTGAGGTTTTCTATTTCTTCACAGTTCAATCTTGGTGGGTTGTATGTGTCTAGAAATTTACCCATTTTTTATGGGTTTTCCAATCTGTTGCCATATAGTTGTTCCTAGTAGTCTTTAATGATTCTTCATATTTCTTATTTCCCAGTTTCTATGTCTCCTTTTTCATGTCTGATTTTACTTATTTGGGTCTTCTCTCTTTTTCTTAGTCTAGCTAAATGTTTATCGATTTTGCTTATCTGTTCAAAACACCAACCTGTTGTTTTATTGATCCTCTGTATTTTTTTTTGGTCTCAATTTTATTTATGGCTGTTCTGATCATCATTATTTCTTTTTTTCCTAATTTTAGGTTTGGTTCATTCCTGCCTTTTTAGTTCCTTGAGTTGTATCGTTGAGTTATTTATTTGAAGCCTTTCTGCTTTTTTGATATAGATATTTATTACTCTCAACTTCCCTGTTAGTACTGCTTTTATTATATCCCACAGATTTTGTATCTTGCATTTCTGTTTATGTTTCAATAATTTTTAAAAATTTACTTCTTAGTTTCCTCACTGACTTATCTTCGGTGATTCAGAGCATGTTGTTCAGTTTCCGTGTGTTTGTGTATTTTCTGAGGTTCCTTTTATTGATTTCTAGCTTTATTCCATTGTGATCAGGAAAGATACTTGATAGGATTTTTATTTCTGGTTTTGTTTGTTTGTTTGTTTGTTTAGTTTGTTCAGACTGTTGTATAGCCTAACATCCTAACATATG